CATGAAGAATCCTAAGCAAACCCTGATCAAGCTCAATAATATGATTCATCTTAGATAACATGAAGAATCCTAAGCAAACCCTGGAAAAGGTCAATAATATGATTCATCTTAGAAAACCCTACTCGAGCAGGGCGGAGGTTTCTCAACTCAGGGCAGGTTATTCAGTTATGCAGCGTAAACCTACACTATGCCCTGAAGCGTAAATCCAAAACTAAACCCGAACGTCGGATGAACGCATAGTAGAAACTTGAAAAATCCCGTAAGGAAAGCGATTCGAACAACAAGTAACTATAAGAACAAAGGAGCCTCAATTTAGACAAACCGTCCCCTATCTTCGCTGGCGATAAAAAATCTTTTCGTGCGTGAGCAAGAGCTGGCCCCGTCTCTTCCGGACGAGGGGGGGGACAGGCCTTGGGGATGGCAAGGGGTGTTTCTACTCCGAAACCCCGAAACCCTAAGCCGTCTGCAGGGCTCAAGCATTCTAGGCCACTCTAGGCTTTTAGGATGCGGGTACTTCTCTACATTTGGGTCCCTTTTAGGGTCCTTATTAAAAGGGTGCCGTACTATTTTGCGGACCTAAAGAGGGACCCTAATTTAGAGAACTACCCTGTGTAGGGGGAAATCGGACTCCCCGTCCAAGTATCCCTATCCCCGGGCACAAAACACGAAGTCCAACAGCTATCAGCCCCTGAACCCTGATTCTCGGTGATAATTAGAAAACGGCTGCGGGATGGAGGTACATCGTAACAGTCTACTTCTATACGAACTCTCACGAGACAAAATTCAAAGCCTTCAACCCAGGAAGCCCTAAATTGTCAACTTGCGGCCTCCCAGATTGTCAAATTTGGGACCCTAGTTTGGGCCCCTCCCCACCAGATTGTCAGTTTGGGGCCATGTGGGTGGTTGTCAAAATTATGGTCCCTTTTGGGTCCTTATTATAATACGGCACCTATTATTTAGGGTACCCCAAAAGGGACCATAATTTTGACAACTACCCATGTGTCCAGCCGTGATGCTGTTAAGCCGTATCGGAAAGTCCTTTGTCTCCTCAAAGCCTCAGGAGGGTTGCAAGCAAGGGTTTGGGATTAGGGCTTCAGGGGGTTGCGGGGTTGAGGGGCTTGTCGAGGGGCTTGGAGGTTCAGGGAGGGAAGGGTTCAGGGAGGGTCGAGATTTTTGGGTTTGTGGATATTTCTGGGATTTCGAATGGTTAGGATCTAGGATTCGGATTCTGTAGGATTTGTCCGTGTCGGCTCTAGGGTTCTAGTCATGGTCGAGTCGAGGGATGCTTGAGGTTTGGGTTTCGGGGCTTATGGTTTTAGGCTATCTCGGATGCTAACCCTAAACCCCAAACCCCAAAGCCTAAACCGGGATTGGGGGATGCTAACCCTAAACCCTAAACCGGGATTTAGGGATGCTTAAACCTCTTCTTCCAAGGTTGTGGTTTCATGTTCAAAACTGAGGGTAGTGACGTAGAGCTTGGTTTATGGTTTAGGGGTTTAGGGCGCAGGGCTTCAGGGTTTAGGGTTAGGGGTTGGGGTTTACAAGGGTTCCGTGCAAAGCCAGGCCCAAGAAGCCCGTCCGATCGCGCTCGTGAACAACTCGAAGGTTGAATGAGTCCTTGATGCGCTGCATCCGAAAACTCACGCAGATGCTCTAGCAATCTAGCAACAATGTGGCCTCCGGCCGATCTCATCTGTGAAACCGTTACAAATACCGTCAGTGCCTATAAACCCCAAGCCCTACTGTACTACTGTAAAGGCCTCAATAGTTCTGGTATCAGTATAATCTACCCCGAAACAAAAACTGAAAATTAAGAAGGCCCCTACATTCCCAATATCAGAGTTCAGCAGAACTTGTCACAGATGTTGCTCACGCAGCCCCTCCAGCAGGCCCGATTTTAAGTGCCTGATCCGATGTGACCTTGCTGGATGTCCTTTTTGCGAAAACACCCACAACGGAGGCAGCGGACCAAGTGACACCTCCACCGCCACTAGAATGCGAAAGGTTCCTCCACGAAAGCACCGAATCGCAACGGAGACAGCTGCAGTGAATCTACAGCTGGCTTTCTTCATGTCTGTCCTACGATTCTTGTTGAAGGATTGCTAATTCTGATAAAGCTCTGTCTTTGTCATATGCCACCCATAGGTCCCATAGTAGTTCCTTTTGGGGTAACCTTATAGGATTCTATATATGAACCCCAAAAATAAAAAGGAACTACTTTAGGGCCTATGGGTACTTTACCAAAAACCCCTCACCATCCTCAAGCCCTACGCCCTCAACTTCTGTCTGCCCCTCTTCTGTCTGGTGCTTAGTAGGGAATGGGGGAATGGATCCCTATGATAGTCCCTTAAGGTCCCTTATAGTAGTCCCTATAATCCATTCCCCCATTCCCTACTAAGCACCAGACAGTCTTGGCTGTGCTCACCGCGCTGCATAGACGACGCCGTCCAGCTCTACTGGGTAGAAGGAGTCAGCCGACTCGGGATGGCCTGGTTTAGGGTTTAGGGTTTAGGGTTTAGGGTTTAGGGTGGTGTAGGGGTTTTGTTAGGAACCCAAAAAGGACATAAGCATAAGCAGTTTATAGGGGTATCCCTACCTTATTGGGCTTCATTATAAGGGGGTTTATATGGGAGATCCCTATCCTAATTTTTGCTTATGTGCTTTTTTGGGGTCCAATTTTGGGGATTGAAATCTGGGGGTTCAGTTCAGGGTTTCGGGGCACAAGGTTTCCCAAGCGTTGCTCTTTGTGTTTATCTTCACTGGTATGGTGGCTTTACAGAGCAAGGGTTTTTCTTAGGGTTTTCTGCAGGGTGCTACAGAGTTTTATGTGGTTTAGTGAAGGTTCCTTGGGGGCTCTATATGGCTTCAACAAGCGTTGTTTGTGTTGTTTAATGGGACTTAGCAGAGTTTAGATGCTTTCAGATGTTTGCAGGTTCATCACCCAGCAGGCATCCCGCTCTCAAATCGGAGCTTTGTTGAATCAGAACATCAAGAACCCCGGTTTAGTGCACGGAACGTGCATTCCTCAAGGGGCAATGCGAAAACCGTTTCGCCCGAAGTCAGATGGATCCAAGAAGATATGGACCCAGAGGAACCTCAAACCCCTTACAGACCGATGATGAAACCAGTATGTCTACTATCCGCTTATCCTCCTCGGAAGATATCTGGGAAAAAGACTAGTAACACAATCAGAAATAAGGAACTGTTGGGATGCCATACCTTTCGTATCGCGGTCATCACCGCAGGGCTTTGGGCTTTAGGGCCTCGGGTTTATCATGTTCAGGGGTTTCGGAATGTAGGGGCCCATGGTTTCTGATTTCTGCAACAATTAATGCAGGGGCCTGCAAATGACTAGAATAGGGTCTTGGGCCCATTCTACTATATTTATCATCAGGAACCTTAGGCTTCTAAACCCTATAAACCCTAAACCCCTGAGCTCTGGGGATATAGAATATTATGTAGGCTTCTATACCGTTAGCATCAAATAGCCCAAAAGCCTTTTATGATAGGGTCTTAGGGCCCAACTCAAGATATGAGTCCTTCGAGGGTAAGGGATACCCTGAACCCTAAACCCCCGTATTGCGTTCTTTGTGGTCGAGTCACAGATCTTGGGCCGGCCGTCGGGTGGCCGGATCTTGCCACCGCAGGACAGCGCCTCCGCTCCGCGGTTCATTTCAGAGGGCTTTGGCTTAGGGTTTGAGGTTTAGGAGTTTAGGGTTTTAGGGGAGTTTGGGGTTTAGCGTCTAGGGGAGTTTAGGGTTTAATACGCTTTAATTACGGATTTATCAGGTTTGTATTTTCGGAGCAAGTCGCTTCATGAGAGTCTTTCGGCTTCGGAGTTTAAAAGCTGCTGCGTTTGGGATTTGGACTTTGTGGGTGTAGTCGCACAAGGGTGCTATCACTAAGCAGAAAAGGGCTATACAAATTGCGAGAATAATCATGCAACCACAACGGCAGCAGCACGCACCACCAATGTTGCTTTACCCATGGCTACTAACGGGCTTAAACCTTGCATACACGCAAGATCCTAAGGCCAGACGCTAAACATCGAAACCCGAAACCCCAAACTGTGAAACCCAAAACAGAACCCACGAAGAACAGCCGACGCTTTCAAACGGATGAACTCTGCAAAAACCTTCGCAAAGAGTCCGACAACAAGCAGGGTGCCCTGCCTGGGGATGAGACCCCCAAAGCCCTTGTAGAACCCTTAGCAATTTCTATAAACCCTAAACCCTAAACCCTAAAGGCGATAAACCGAAGGATAAGCGCTCGGGAACCCAGACAACCCCTAAGATTTGAAAGCCACCTAAAATTCCACAAAACCCAAAACCCTCTAAACCCTGAAACCCTAAAGCTCAAAATCCCTAAACTTCCCAAAATATGCCTCAATTCCTTAACCAAAATCCTAAAAACCCTTAACAATATCCCTAAAAAATCGTAAAAATGACAAAAAAAAAACCAAGAGCCGGCCTTTGGAGCTGCCGACGGAGTGGTCGCCGTCTGCTGCGGCCCTGGCGAGAAGCAGGGCTTTCATGTAGGGGCCTTAATAGTTAGAATAGGGTTCCTTTAAGGGAGCTATAGTCATCCCTAAACCCTAAACCCCAAACCCTAAACCCACCATAAGGACATCTTGAGGAATGCTTTTTGGTAATCTTTGAAGCTTCTATAGTAGGGCTTTGAGGGGTTCGTTTGGCGCTTTGGAGTTCTTAAGGGTTTAGGGTTTGAGGCTTTGGGAGTTTCGGGTTTCAGGAGGGTGTTTGGGTTTCAGGAAAAAGGGGGGTTAGGGCTTGACGTGTTGAGGTTGGGTCGTTTATGATTTACGCATCTCTGTGGGTTCTATAATAGGCCGCTCTGCCGTTGCCTAGGGGTTTCATGGGGTTGCAGTATAGCGCTTCATAGGGCTTCGGGTTGAGAGTGCGGAGCATCCGGTTCTTGGCATTGGAGCTCTACGGGATTATACGGGACCTCCAAACGGGGTTTAGGGTTTAGGGTTGAGAGTTTAGGGACTATAAGCGGTCCTGCACCACTGCGCGGGTCATGTAAGGGCTTTATAGGGCCTGGGTCTGGGACATGGGGGTCCAGGGTTCAAGGTCAGGGTTGGGTTTAGGGTTTAGGGTGTAGGGTTTAGGGTTTAGGGTTTATAGGGTTTGAGGTTGAAGAGACCATCATAACAGTGATCACAGCACAACATGCAGCATGCTACGATGTGGTATGGTAGGATGTACTACGTCAACAACACAGTATCACATCGCATCTCATGTCATCTGAGAAGCGATGTGCCAGATCTTGGCTCTTCTTGCCGTGAAGCTGTCAAACGAAGGAGCTTAGACAAACAAGCTTCAAAGACATTGGCATTCAGGGTTAGGGGAGGGGTGCCCTCTGGGGTGTCCTTGCTCGACAGGTTGGAGATACCTCAAGTTTCTGCCCGTGTGGGTTGGCCGTGCAGCAAACTGAAAGAGGAGGCCACCGATTGCACCGTGCCCGGCCCAGTCTAGGCATGCATGATGGCACACTTGACAGGCCCACCCTAAACCCGAACCTCTAAACTCTTATGTTTGCCTGCGTCTGCAAAAATGTCGCCTGCACCACTCTCCTCAGCCGCCTCCACCGGCGCTGCCTGAGCCTCACCAGGTGACAGCTGTGACCGCGGCGAATGCACGCATCAGGGTTTAAGGGTTTGTGGGTTTAGGTTTTGAGGGTTTGCAGGGTTTGGGGTGCAGCTGCAGATGTAGTAGCAGGAGCCGCGCTCACGCACCCACATGAAAGGCTTTGTGCTAGACCTTTCGAACATCAAGGCTGTGTGATTTTCACAATCGGCTGTCCTTGCTCGAAAACCGTCAATACTGTCCAGTTGCTGCAACACTCCAGCAGTTCTATTCCAAAACAAGAACTCTTAAGGATCCTAAACCATAAAGTTGAGGTCCGTCTCCGCATCGCTTAGAGACAGGCTAGTGCCAAGACAAGCGCACAAGACTATCAGTCGGTGAACCTCTGCGTTGGCTCCAAATGTCGGCACGCTGCCAGATGCCTTGAAGGACTGGGGTCACATCTGAAACTTGATGCATAGATACTATGTCGGCAGGAGCATGTCTGGCCAGCTACGATGTCTTCGACCCCAAACCCAAACCTCATGGGAACCCTTCAAAGGGTACCCCCGAAACCCTAAACCCTAAACCCTAAACCCTAAACCCTAAACCCCTATAGAACTCTCCGAGCTCGCAGAGCCTTCGGGGGCTTTGGGGGGCAGGGAGGCATCAAGCTTCATGCCCTACCGTTAACGACCAAAAAACCCCTAGGGTTTAGGATTTAGGGTTTAGGGTTTAGGGTTTAGGGTTTAGGGTTTAGGGTCTACTTCTTCGTCGGGTCCCTACAAACTCTATATTAGGGTTTTAGATCAGGGTTTATGTAGTGAGAACGTACAAGAATAAGAAAGCTGCTGTGATAGTTTAAGGTACGTTCTAAACCCGCAACCCTTACCCGCCTTGACCGAAATTAAAGACCCTTAAAGGAACCCTGAACTACAAGGAATATCTCGAAGGCATCCGAACAAGATTCGTGCCCCTGCTACGCCAATAACGGTCCAAACGTACGGGTTCAGAGCTCTAACAATTCCAATCCCCAAGCAATTTAACCCTAGGACCTAAACTTTAAAGCTTAGGGTTGCTTGTGGTGCTTGGTTTAAGTCGATGCAAACTATCCATATTGGCTGAGGGCTTAAAAAAAGTCTAGTAGTAGCCCATCGCTGCATCAGCTGTCCTGACTTGCGGCTCAGTGACCTCTGCAGCCTCGGCATGTCCAGAGGTCTGCACGCCGTGCCTTCGCTCCGAGGTGAAGGAGTGGAGTTTAGGGTTTAGGGTCTAGGGTTTAGGGTCTAGGGTCTAGGGTCTAGGGTCTAGGGTTTAGGGTTTAGGGTTTAGGGTTTAGGGTTTGGGTTTGGGGCTCCTGGTGACCATGACGCCATGCATGCAGGCGGCATGATCGCGTCTGCGAGAGTGTGGTCGCTGCCCGCAGATGTGAAGCTGTGAGGCGGGGCCATCCTCAGCAGCCGTGAGCCCACATGTACTGCTAGGTGCAGGCATAAGTTTAGGCAAAGATTCGAAAGAAAGATAAAGGTATAGATAGTTATACTGGGCTACAGTCCTGGTGGCGATGGTGAACGTATACTGCGCTGAGCTATACCATGATGTGGTGCAAGATGCGTGCTAAAAGAAAAACTTAGTGTGTGAGAGTGGGTATATAACTATATATGGAGAGAGAAGAGAAATTGCTATGTGTACTCGCATAAACAAACAAACGAACACACAAACAAACAAACAAACAAACAAACAAACAAGCAAGCAAGAAGGCAAGCAAGCAAGCAAGCAAGCAAGCAAGCAAGCAAGCAAGCAAGCAAGCAAGCAAGCAAGCAAGCAAAAAACACACACGCACATACAAACAAACCAGCAATACGACATATTATCAACACATTCGTACAATATATATATATATAGATAGATATATGTTTATCTATCTATTTATTTATACTTAAATCTGTTTATATATATATATATATATGCTAACCCCCACCCCCCACCCACCCCGCATTGACCTACCTTTGTTGGGGGTCTAAGCAGCGCCAAATAGCAATGAGTCATGCTTAAAACACAAGAGATAAATAAAGACAAAGAACTACACAGATAAACAGATAGATAGGTGAATAGATGGATAGATAGGTAGATAGGTCGATCGATAGTTTAGCATATAACCAGATGCATACCTCCATACATTCATAATATACCCTAAACCCGAAGCCCCTGAACCCTAAACCTTGAACCCCTAAATCCTCAACCCGATACCCATGGCATCATGAGACCCAGACCCTAAACCCTAAACCCTAAACCCTAAACCCCTAAACCCTAAACCCTAAACCCTAAACCCTAAACCCAGGGCCCTGAGTTCCTGACTGTGAGCCGCCAGCACTTGCCTCCGAAGTGGAAGGGCCTCTGCAAGGGTTGTGGGCTTAAGGGTACAATAGGGGTTCTTTTTAAGGGCACTATAAGGGTGCCTTTAAGGGGATCTATAGGGGTTTAGGGTTTAGGGTTTAGGGTTTAGGGTTCTAAGGTTTAAGTTTTAGGGTGTGGGGTTTAGGGGTGTTGGATTATTTTTAGCGCTGGGCGCAGGATCCGATCTGAAACCAATTCAGGGCAAAGGCAAGAGCTTCAAAAATGCACAGAAAGGGGCCGTAAAAATTAGAATAAGATCTAATGTTTAGGGTTTTTAGGGCTTGGAGGTTAAAGACAGGGGTCTTCACATGAAGGGGCTACGGAGATACCACGCAGGGGTCGACAGCTTCTGTTGCTATTCCTGCTGCCAGTCCGAGTCCTACTTCTACTACGACGACGACAATGACGACGACAGCGGCGGGCATACTACCACCGCTAACTTCTCCTCGGCTACTCTCAGTCTCATGGGTATGATGCTACTACAACTACACGTCTGCAACTTCGACCAGCCTAACTATGATCTTTTGTTTTGAAATGCTGAAGGGGCCAATGGTGCGGCTCCCGGCCTCCGTCCACTGCGGGAGTTCCTCGCGAGGCGACCGCTCGGTAGGGTTTAGGGCTGCAGGCATGTGAACGATTTAAACTTCGCAGCTGCTGGGGTTTCCAACGAAATTCAAGCTTCAGATCCTTAAACCCTATAAACCCTAAACCCTAAACCGGAGCTCAGCGTGTCGAGGTGGGGGGTTTGGGGCTGGGCTTTGAACCGATACGGGTTTCTCAGAACCAAAAAAATATCTGCAAGATCCGCACAGGCTCTGAGTAGAAATTTCGAGGATCCGCAGAGCTTCTACGGCCCTCATAGAGCCCTTCTTGGACCCGCAAGGCATAGCCTATACGGAGAAGTTCCTTTTCTGAAACCCTCATAGAACCCTGATGGAACCCTTAGAGAATCCCCTTTTTGCTGTTCCTTTTCTGAAACCCTCATGGAACCCTCATAGAACCCTAAGAACCCCTTTACTTGTTCCTGTTCTGAAACCCTCATAGAACCCTTAGTTGTTCCTTTTCTGAAACCCTCATACACCCATAGAGCCCGCCTAAACCCTAAACCCTCAACC